GCTTTCCCTTCCCACTTCTGGTCTGTGCCTTGGAAGCAGGGACTTCCTGTAGTCAGGCTGCACAGTGCTTGCACATATTTATCTGCTTTTGGCAAACCTAGGTGACAGGATCTTGTCTATAGGGACTACTCGGGCCCCAGCATCCTCCCCTTCTGCACATTGTATGTTTGAGGAGTCAGGGGCCATGTGTCTGTCCCCCTCACAATGATGTGTATGGGGCTTTTGAAGTGTCCTGGAATAGTTTTACTCCAGGTCCTTGGGCACCTCCCCCTAATTCGCTGGTTTGCATCTTTGTGCAGGTGTGCAGCTGCATGGCCACCTGCCCATTCTGCCCTGCCCTCTGAGAGACCTCTGAGTAGTGGGGCTGGCTGCCCTTTGCACTGTGGGGCCCAGCACACTACAGTGAGGCCAGAGGGTCACCCAGACCAAAGCTCCCTGCAAACAAACCTCACAATAAACAAAGACCCAGGTATGTGCAAAGAGGAGTTTATTTAAATACAAAAACCATTGCTCCTGCTTCAAGCCTCATGAGAGAGGAGAAGCTGCTTCCTTTGGGCTCTAATCCCTCCTGCTCTGCCAAGCACAGCCTGGGTGATAGCCATCAGCTCTTATTCCCCATTATGCCTTGGCTCTGTCATTGGTCCCTTTCTTGCAGCCTGCCATGGCCTCAGCCTCTGGGCTTCCTGCAGGGGTGATGTGGATCGGCACATTCCTCTCAGGGGTTGCTCTCTGCCCTTGGCACGGGGCTTTGATGCGCAGCTGGCCCTCGCTGGAGACAGAGCAGGTCAGGCTGTTGGGGTCTACGCCCTTGGGCACGTCCCACTCCCGCTTGAACACCTCGTACTTGTAGGAGAAGGAACCTTTGCTGTCCTTGCTCTGTGTCACCTTCTTGCCTGTCAGCAGCACCTTCCTGCCCACCAGCTTCACTGTTAGCTCCCCTGGGGCAAAGTCCTTGACATCCTGGCACACAGCGAAGGCCCCATCCGCTCCCTGGGACATGGTCACACTGGCACTCTGCTTTCGCTCTGTGCTGGAGCTGCTGCTCCCTTCACCTAGCAGGAGCTGCTGGACACTGCTCATAAGCTCTTGGGCCCAATCCATCTTCCACTGCAGCTGCCGCTCCAAGTCCGAAAAGACTGTGTTAGGTTGAGGCCATAATGTGCGCAGAGGGCCCACGGAGGGAGCTGGAGCTCTGTGGGAAGGTGGCTGAAGGTGCAGGTGGCACAGCATCTCTGCTTCTGTGGCTGGCTTGGGGTGCTGAGGTGGAGTCCTCTCTAGTGGTGCTGGAGCTGTCCTGCCCGGCTGGTTGGAGCCAGTGGCTTTTATCCCCTTCCCACCCAGGCCTGGCCGCATCTAGAATTCTCTGTCTCCCAGTGCCCCTGGGAGCATGGCACAGTGCATTCCCATTAATCACCTCCCAGATCGGGCAGGTTGAGGCAGACCCAGTACCACGTGCCACATGCCACCTGCTTTAAGCCAGCTCATGGCTCTGCCCTGCTGGCCTATAATTAGAAGCATCACTTCAGTTTCTAAACAAAGCAGCAGCCCCCACCTGGGGAAGAGATTGTGAGCCCCAGGCCCTTGGCCTTCTTGCTCCCCGACACAGAAGGTGGGGAAGGGTGTTACGCCTCAGCTCTGTATTCTTGGGCAACCCTGGCACAGGATGCAGTCTGTCTCACTCACAAAGGACTCGCCCCTCCTCCCCTCCTCTACCTAAACGAAACTGATTAAGATGCAGTGAGAGATGCACCTAAGACCCTCCAGATAAGGGTGATAAGAGTGAAACAACTGCCCTAGGTCTCATTTACATCCGAGATGGAATCAGATGACCATTCATTTACATGAGAGATGGAGAACGGAAAGCCTGAAGCAGAGACTGCAGTGAATTCTGGGACCAGAGAAGCAGGGGAGCACTGCATGATGGGGAATCTGTGCTCTAAATGTTAATCAACCCATGTTCACACACACCCAGCTCAGCATTTATCAGACCAGTTCTAATCTGGATTTGCTAAGGACTCTCTCACCCCAGACACACACACCCCTCTAAGTTTACTAGGCATCTCGGGCTGTACATTCCCCAGTCCCACTATGGGAGGCCTATTTAAACTTGATTGACTAAAACTCGGTTGC